CGCTTACTTGATAATGCAAACATGAATAGGAACATGTTGAGGGGTACCTTGAGCTGTCTGCCAAAACAAGGACTTATTTTACTACTGCTGTGGCTCTCTGGGACGCAGATTTCTATGTGAAAGTGGATGATGATATACATGTAAATATAGGTACACACACACACATGTTCTACTAGTCCTTGTGTCTGTTCATCCAATGAGGACAGTTTTTATGTGCTTTTGTTCTTGTATTTTATACGGAGTATTAGTTAACAAAGAACATGAAAACTTCAGGGACTCTGGGAACAACTTTAGCTAGGCATCGTTCGAAACCCCTAGTGTACATCGGTTGCATGAAATCTGGTCCAGTCCTCGCACAAAAGTAAGCTGAATGAATTCTGAAGACTTTTAGTCTCGTTAGGATGGTTCATTGTATAATAAGTGCTTTTATAAGAACTATGAATGGCTTTTTCATTGAAGCACCAACGCTCGATATTTGCTTTTCTGGTGCTTTCTTAAATAAGCACAAGCGGTGCTCTTTTTTAAAATTAATTTTTTTTGTTCATTTCCTTGCCCAACATTCCAATTTTTTTTGAAGATAAATCATACGTAGTATTTTTTTCTTCATATTCAAAAACTTTTTTTTTGTTTACTGACCTTATGCTGGTCCTCCTATGTCTGTAGGGGAGTAAGATATCATGAGCCTGAACACTGGAAATTTGGCGAGGAAGGAAACAAGTATTTCCGACATGCAACGGGGCAGCTATATGCCATATCAAAAGATTTAGCCACCTACATCTCACTAAACCAGTAAGCATTCTAGTTTTTCTTAGCAAAAGTTTATAGTCGTTTTCCTAATCTTCATTTGTTTTATAAATACCGTATAATTTTGTGAATCTTGAAATATAAATCTTCTTCTTAGGAATGTGCTTCACAAATATGCTAACGAGGATGTTTCTCTGGGGTCATGGTTCATTGGATTGGATGTAGAACACATTGACGACCGTAGATTGTGCTGTGGAACTCCACCTGGTAATATTATTTACTCTCACCTTTTCTCCCTATAAAACAGTTTGTTTCCAGTACCCCCCCCTCCCCCGAAAAAAAAAACATATTTTTTTAAAACTTGTGGTCAAGAAAGATTTTCGTCCACACAACCCAAACTCATCTTTACCAAAACGATGAATCCCACCTTAGGGTCCCCTTAGGTCGTCCACAACGTCCTTTTGCACCCCCTATTAACCACTTCAGCTACTCGCCCCTCCCCAAAAAGTCATCTTTTCACTTGCACATATGTTATATACTGCACCATCCATTTTGGCTGGCAGACTGTGAATGGAAGGCACAGGCGGGGAACATATGTGTGGCTTCCTTTGACTGGAGATGCAGTGGCATTTGCAACTCTGTTGAGAGGTTGAAGGAGGTTCATCGCCGCTGTGGGGAAGGCAATAACTCCCTCTGGAATGCTGTCTTTTGATGTCTGATTATTCAAGCTTACTATTGTACAATGTCTGTCCATTTGGTTCCAAAAAAGTGGGAATGGTTGATCTGGGAATCCACTCCATTTTATTAAGGAAAAGATATCACCACAGCAGCCAGTCTACTACAGGAGCATGTGTAAACTAGTATTTCTTAATTCTTTAGTCAACTCAACTTTTCTTTTTATAATTTGATTGAAAAGATAATGAACATTGTAATAAGTCTGTAAATTGTGGGAATTCGTTTCCTTCTTTCACCTTTTTGACATTCCTCATGATACAGTGTATTGAACAATTGGTTCTGAAGTATATAGCTGAAGTATTTATTTGATCATTCACAAAAATATGTCTTGGTAGTGACAAAGTAAAAGAAGTATTATGTGTGCATGATTTTAAACTTGATGTTCTTTAAATGGATCAAAGACGAAGTGAATATTTAAGGGTTGAATGGCTGTGGTTGTTGTGCCTAGTAGCACGGGCCGAGCCGGTCTTCAAATGTGTTCGAAACTCAGTGTCACCATTTTATTACACAAATATTCCACACAAAACAATATATAATAAGACCCAAAACATATTTTTGCTTAGGGCCTTTACCATCTTTTTACAATTGTACAGGGCACAGCAACCATACCCCTCACATATAAGCATAATCTTTTCGAGCCTTACACGTGAAACCTTAACTTTTAAAATTGGGTAGCACTGAGTTTCGAACACGTGACATCTTAATCAACAAGACTCTGATATTATGTCAAAAAATCAACTCAACTAAATACTCAAACTTATGGTGGTGGCCCAGGAAAAGTTTTGTCAGTATATTCAAACCAGAAAACTACTCACAGGTAACGCGAGTTTTGTCGAAATAACTCCCAGGTCCTTCTATTTTCAAGAAAACAATGTAGGTCCTTCCATTTTATTGTAATGACTGAGAGGTGACATTCCATCTAATATTTCATTCATAAATGTTAATAAATGTATTTTTTCTTATTTTTTCTTAATATTTTATGGTAATAACACTTAGTTCGCTCCTTTTTTATTTCTCTGGTTTTCTTTTTTGTTAGTTTTTTTTATGAAGTGTTTTTTTAGAATTTCTTCTATAAAATTGTATGAAAATTCAAAATTGTTTGTATGATATAAAAATAAATGAAATAAAAAAACTTTCTAAAAAAGAAAAAAACCGAGTAAAACTAAAAAATTGAAAAATGACAAAACAAATTCCTTAGAAACACCTCTTCTTTTTTTTAATACTTTGTATGGAATATTTAAAAAGAGATCTAATTTTTTTGATAAGGTCCTTATCTCATTTATTTTTATATCATGCAAACTTTAAATTATTGAAACTATTTTCTAGAAGAATTTTTTTAAAAAATATTTATGAAAAAGGAAATAAAGTGAAAAAAAGAGACAAAAAAAGGAAATTAAACAAAGAGACTAAGTGAGGGACCTAAAAACTATTATCATAAAATGTTAATGACAAAATAGGAAAAAATGCATTTTTTAACGCTTATGGATGAAGTATGGGATGAAATGTCCCCTCTCAGTCATTACAACAAAATGTAAGGACCTCTGTTGTCTTCTTGAAAATAGAAGGACCTGAGAGTTATTTCGACAAAACTCGCGTCACCCGTAAGTAATTTTCTGTATTCAAACACCTTCATCCTATTGATTATTTACACATGATCCATACAATTTGATTAATTTATAAACTTTATTAATTCGTACTCCGTATTTTTAAACTAGAGAATTCTATATTTATTCCCCTATTACTAAATATTATATTTGTGGACCTTTGTTTATGAGTGCCTTTTCACGGATATTCTTTTTCTTTAATCTTCTGTAGTGTTGGTGTTAAATTGATAGATTGAAGTGTAATTTCATCTATGCCTTATATCCTTCACTCCATAGTTAATGCTAGAGGTCGCTGCTAATTTATCCTTTGTTCTTTGGAGTTGCCGCCTACCGCAACCGTAGCCCACAATTGTCGTCGCTTGTTGAAGTCCAAGTTGGCAGCCATAGTCATTATTTTCTGATGTCTATTAAGTTGGCACCAAAATACATGGTCGGACCTATGGTCAATATGAAATTACACTTTATGAAGTATTACGTTCTTCGAATACGTGAACCTGCATACTTTGATTCATTGTTCTAAGCCGTATAAAATAAGGATGGTATACAAGCTTTGCGTTGGGTATGCCACTACGCGTATTCGAAGACGTAAATTATGTACATAGAATTTGTCACTCATATATAGGAGAAATTAATGTCTTATTGGGCCCACTTATAAGATGACTGAGGAAATGCATGGTCATGCTAAGATGAGTTAAGACATCTGTCCTTTCAGTCAGACTTGTTGATCTGTGAATAACTTAATGGTACAGGCTAGATTTTGTATCCCTTGCATTAAGTTAAGACATTGAGACAAAGGGATCTACGTTACACGGAGTCTTAGTCGTGGAAAGGTTTTGACGGAGCAAACGTCTAAACTTATAATCTGGGGGTAATAATGTGTTGCTAGATACCACTTATTACTTATAGTATTGGTGTAGAGTAAATACTGTGGCCAGTTTTATAAGTGCTTATATGGGTCACATATTTTGGACAATTTAAAGAGTAGGATTACAAGAAGGGATAATATTTAATTTGTATATTGTAAAATAGTAAAATAAAATGTTTTAATATAATATATGTATATATATTATATACATAAATATTATACACACACACACACACACATATATTGTAATATATTATACTAGTGATAACCCCGTGCTTCGCACGGGCTCGTATATATTTTAAATTTTAATATTTTATAAATATGATTATATTTATTGTTATTTTCTAATAATATTTTTATAGTTCAGTTTTGGGTTATATTCTTTTAGATATTTTTGTTTAAGATTCTTTTAATATTTAACATTTAGATCACATTACTCGATGGGTATAACCCATTAATACCACCCGACGGGTTTGCAACCGCCAGGAAGGTATTTAAGTATGGCTCCTCAAGACTTGGTCGACCCGTGTAGTCTGACCGGGCGGATGTCGAAGGGTTTAGAATTGAGAGATAGTGACTTCCTCCGCTAAAAGCATGAAGACTGATGCGAATGACTTGAGATGAACAGTGGCACCGAGACGTGCTTGTTATTCTTATAAATAGGAGAAAAAGCCTCATTAAGAAGGCATACTTTAAATAGTCTGCACGGCTTCTAAACTTGCAAACAGTCCCAATATCATTAATAACAAAACGGGTTACAAGTGTTCCCATCTACAACCCTTCGCTTATTCATACTTAATATTTATGTGGGTTTACACCATCATTACTTAAATAACATAATAGGATAAAAATGTTGAAATAAATAATGTGCATAATTCAGAGTAGTATTTTTACAAAATAATAAAATAAAATAAATGGTGAATAGTTTAAAAAATTATAAACAATTATAATGGTATTTTTTATTTAATAAAATTTAAATTACTTTTTTTTAAAATAACAACATACTTATGAACATTTTAGAACTAAAATAAATATTTTTAAAATAGTTAGAAAATGAAGGATTTTATAAAACAAATAATAAAATAATGGTAACTCCGTATTTAAAATCAAAATGTGAAGGATATAGAAAATATGTTTATAAAATTTCAAAAATTTTAAATGTTGCTTGTATATTTAGTTAAAACAAAACGAATTAAAGCTCAAGTATTATGTGGATATGACTTTTCATTTTCTTCATTCTCTTAAAAAATGAAGTGGCAAAAGATGGAATGATGTGGCAATAAATTAATGACATGGAATGACACATGTCGTAACAACAATTAATCCGCTCAACTTTATAAATTATCCCCGTGCTTCGCACGGGCTCGTAAGCATTCTAAAATTTTAATATTCTACTTTTTATTTTTATTACTCATTTGATAAAATAATATAGTCATATCATCTATATTTTTTTAAACTTGTGATGCAGTTTTAAATATAAAAGTTTTATTTTTAAATTTTACACTTAATCAAACAAATTGAATTTAAAATAACTTCGGTCAAATCTCGTAAATTGAGAAGTCAGTTTTCAGTTTTAGGACAGAGGGTGTATAATAAAATAAATCTAAAGTTTTAAAATATATATCATATCGTTAATAAAGATGCTTATGTAATCGAGTCAATAGCACTCAAAAAAAGATGCATATGTGATAAATTATCGAAATTGCTTTTTAGAAGTAATAGAAATATAAATTGTGGATCATGAAAAATAACTTATTTAACATTTTTAAATTAATGTAATTAGTTTTCGAACTTTAAAATATATTACAATGATGAAAATATAATACAAAAATTATTATTAAAGTTAGAAAGTGAAAGTTTATAAACTGAAGGGATTTATTATAAAGTATAATAAAAATGGTGATTATTTAATATAAAAATTAATATGCACGCATGGCATTCCACGTGGCATGTGATACACATGTGGCATGACACGTGTTACAAATGTACACGTGTGGCGTGACACATGTCGTTACCACATTTAAGCCGCTCAACTTTATAGATATATACTATTTTTACCCGTGCGATGCACGAGGTCGAACGAAATTTTTATCGATTCTAAATTTTTTCAATGTAAAAATATTTTTTGGAATCGAGTAAATATATTTCTAACACGATTTTTAATCAATGAACAACAATGCCAAAAAATAAATAATATTTAAGGAATTGAAAGTGTACTCGAAAAAATCTTTTTAGTTTCAAATCTTCTCAAAGACAAAACATTTTTGGTATGGTTATAAGAGTTTCAACTATCATCTAGAACTAATATTTTTATCATGTCTTTGCCTTTACTCATGAAACAGTAACATAAAGCTGACTATGAGTAAACACTAAATTAGTTAAAAATAATGCAACAAAAGACAATATTTGACCTTGACTTTTGTTAATAGTCATAGCAAAACATAAGACTATTGAGAATTGCCTTCTCTAAAACTTCAGGAGTTGTCCTTAATTAGATGATACCAAATTTATTTGGGGTATGTAAACCTTTTTCCCGACTTGATTTCCCGAAATCACAATTCCACTGATAATGTTCCTTCACAGCTCTTAAATGATTAATTTTCTACCATGACACATTTCAAATGTTTGGTTAATGTTCTCAATGACATAATTTGTATCCCTTTTTAAAAGTATTTTGTGGTTTGGGATCCTCGAATATTTAATTCTTTTAAAAAAAACACAACTATTATCCAATCGTTTTCAACACCTACATCTGAATCTTCTTAGCATGAAGAATCAGAAATTAAGTATTCATTGTCACCTCCTAAAATAAAGGATATCACAAATTCGTTTACCATTTAACAACCAACAGCGTGGGTGCCAATATTGTATAATTTTCAAAAAATAATAATTTTTCATATTCTCTAATAGGTTGAGATAAGTGAAGTCCACTATACTCTTGAAGAGATAACTTTTGTCAAGAATAAACAATTCAGGCGGGATTTCAACGTCAGCATTTCCATCAATCACTTGTCCAACCTTTCCATTTTTACTTTGATTTTTCAATCAGAAAAATCTTGTGTGCCCCTATTTGTGCAAGAGGGCGTAGATGATTATTACTTTGAGTTCCAAATTTAATTTTGGATGTAGAAAATTGTTATAAATTTTTATTTAAAATATTATTAATATATTTTCTACTATTTAATATACAAAAAATTGCTGCCAGGTACCCCCTATTTTGGGATAAAGACTCGCAGGTCCCATTTTTAAAAAAAAATTACTCGTGGGGATTTAAAATATGATGTTTGTGACTAATGAGGGAACTTCCGTCCATTGCACCGTTTCCTACCTGATTTGACTATTATACCCCTCGTTATTACCCAAAAAAGACAGACAACTTCCAGCGTTTCTCATTCTTCTTCGTAAGAAAGGAAGATTCGCTTCCTCTTTTGGCTTCCTGTCAAGATTGGCTTTCTTGGTGTCAATGGTACGTTTTTGGATCGATTCTACTGATGTTTTATCAAATATCTCGGGTTTATCATATTTCTTTTGGATTTTACTTAACAATATGAATCTAGGGTTTTTTAATTTCAATTTAATTCTACTGAACATGAATGAAGGGTTTCGGTTATCAACCTTGTATTGTTCTATCAAAGTCCTGATTGTTTTATAATTATTCTTATGAGTTTATAAATCTATATACTTAGCATATGATGTTATATACTTTAGGCTCCAACGGGATTTATGGTGTATGTGAAAGATAAATGCATTGTGATTGAAGATATTGATTTGGATATTTACTTCACCAAAGATTTGTTCGAGGATGTCATTCCAAAGCCAAAGAACAGAATATAAGTCTTCCTAAGTTTGTTGGTTTTAGATAACATCTTCCTTGGAAAGAAATTCAGAAAGAGACACTAGCTTCTGATAGAGATTGGATTAAGATGGTTGAGGTTTGGGGGGAGTTGCTTGTAATTTCATTCCCTTATTTGTAGTTGAGTTAGAAGAGCCTAGTGCATTACAAAAAGTGGCAGAGGAACTTCATGTTACTGCCCAAACTTTTAAGGACCCAAGCAGTAGTGATGCTGAGCTTTGGGCTGACAATTTGCTTGTGACACCAACAAATTATAGTCAGACTTTTGAAAGTGAAGATAATGGGGGTAATAAATCTAAATTAAATGTGAGAAGGCAAATGAGTAGGACATTTGAAGTGTTGCTCCAACCATCTGTTTTAGACCCCCCTGAGGTTCCATCCATTACTATTTCCTCTCCACACCTCTCACCCACAAGTACAGAACCTAATACAATGACTAGAGAGGAGGTTGAGAATGATGGCAGTTCTAAAAAGAAGAAAAAGAAGCTTGTGGGGGGAGGTAGTAAAGTACTTGAGAGGACTGAGTTGAATGTCAAACTTTTGGCTAAAGAATTAAACGGTTTAGAAGCTTATGACATTCCTGCCTTGAGCAACCCCAAGTTCCTCCCCTAGATTTTTTTTTGAGGAACATGTGCTCCCTTCTCAGGGGGTAATTGATGATGATAAAGCTTCATCTGAAGATGAAGAAGAAGACTGTGATTTTACAGTGAGTGAGGAGGAGTGTTTGAGTAGTGAGGCAGTTTCCTTGGATGAAGAGTCAGAAATGGAGGATGAGTTTGATCTTGATGCTGACACTGCCCATAAAATGATGCTGGGTAATGAGGAAGAAAATGAAGATGGGAGTGGCAGTCAGTCTATTCTTGAGAAAATGGCTAAGGTGTTTAGGACTGGAAGGCTCTGGGTGAGAAGTGCTCATGGAAAAGTTGAGCTAAAGCAAGGTGACATATTTAGTTGCAAAGAAGATTTTCTTAGGGTCATGAAGGATTATGTTATTCAAAAGGGAATTTCTCTTAGAAAAATAAAAAATGACAAGAGAAGATACACTCAAGTATGTATGAATAAGGACTGCAAATTTAAGATTCATGCATCTGTTCTAGTTGATGGCCACTCTTGGATGATTAAAAGCATATGTGAGGATCATATTTGTTCAGTGAAAGAGAACCATAACAGGACTGGAGCAGCTTGGGTTGCAACTCACCTTCTAGAAGACTTCAGAAATAATAAACAGATGAGTGTAGTTACTGCCCAGAAAATTATTTTGAAGAAGTTCAGCACTCGCATACCTGATTATACTTGCTGGAGGGCTCTTAGGGTCATGAGGGGTATGGTTGAAGGTAGGCATGAAGATGGATACAAGATGTTACCACAATACATGGAGGTTTTTAAAGAAAAGAATCCAGATTCCCATTGCTTCATTAGGTGGCAGGAGATTGGTCCAGGGAGAAACCCAATTTTTAAGAGGTGTCAAATCTGTATAGGTTCATCCATCACAACTTTTAAGAAGTATTGTAGACCCTTGATTGGTATTGATGCATGTCATTTGAAGGGTCCATATGAGGGAGTGCTTTTGATTGCTATGGCCTTAGATGGAAACAATGGTCAATTTCCCTTGGCATATGGTGTTGCTGATTGTGAAGATGAAACAGAGTGGTCTTTCTTCCTACATGGACTAGATGTGGCACTTGGCTGCACATCAGATGCATCCCCATACACAATAATATCTGACAGGCACAAGGTAAATCTTAATTTCAAAGTTAGTCTTCTATTATTATTTTTTATTATTATTAAATCTATGATATTTGTTTATGTATTATCCTACAGGCAATAATTAAAGGACTGAGGAATACTCTGCCTAAAGCTAAAAGAAGGATTTGTGTGCTACACTTTTATAAGAACTTTGCTTCAAAGTTCTCAGGTACATGAGCCTTTCTTATTATATCTTTGTTCCAAGAGTACATCACCTAAATTTCTACACAATAATAAATGGCAGGTGCATGGGTTGGTTCGGGTTAGTTTGAGATCGAGATGCTTCGGGATGGTTCGGGGTTCGTACGGGATTGTTTGTTATCGTGATGGTTCGGGGTGGTACGGGTTGGTTCAAGATCGGATTGCTTCGGGATGGTTAGGGTTGGTACGGGATGGTTCGGGATCGGGATGGTTCGGGTTTTCGGGAAATATCGGGACCGGTATTCTCGGTACATTTAACTACATGTATTGTTATTAAAAAACATCTTTTCCACAATGATCATGAGTTCCAAAAACATCACATGAAGTGTACCAATTGAACAAACACTACATCAAAATACAAACTCGTTTTCATAAATCATACAAACACTAGTTCAAGGATTCAAGCAACATCAAATTACATAAACAATACAAATATTGCCATGTTGAGGACCAATGCAGCACAAAACCCAAACATAAAGGCTACAATTTTCTTCTCTTTGATACGCTTGTTTAGAAGCTTTATCTCTTCATCTTTTGCACTGCTCTTCTTTAGAAGTCCGAGAATGAGCTTCTTAGCTCGGTCGCATATTGGAGGATCGAGCCATTCCCAAGAACGACATTTCCGAGTACCCTGTTCAACATCAACCTACTTTAGCAAAAAAACAAATTAATATCGCTAAAAAAACTTAAATATATGTCTTACATTTCCATCACACTTCCACATTCTTCGTCCGGGATTCTTATCAGTCCAAGATGTAAGAATAGTCATGTCTTTCCCGCACCTACAGGTAGGTACCTCCAACCATTCACCATACTCACAAATTCTTCTTGATGAATTAAAAGAGTGGCTAGTAAAAAAATCAAAAAACAGAGCGTATAGTTATAAATGAACTATGTAGAGTAATTCACAGTAATAATATTTGCTTTAATACCTCAAATCCATTACTGATCGAAGATCAGATTCAAGATCAGTTCAAGCACGAGATTCAAATGTAGAATAAACCTGCGCCTAAATGCAATAAACCCCAAACTCATGTTGAACAGGTTACAAGCACGAGAGCTTAGCCAATTTCAGATAATACCTGAAGAAGCACGGATGAAGCTTCGACTCTCTCCTTCGTCTCTCTGCTTCGAAGCAAAGTCGTAAACTTGAAACCCTAGTGTTTCAGCTTTTCTAACATTAAAGAGGAAAGAGTGAGGGTTATATTAGGCATTTCACAACCTTTTTTTAATTAAAATAACCGGAGTTAAGGTAGGAAACGGTGCAATGGACAGAAGTTCCCTCTTCAGTCACAAACATCATATTTTAAATCCCCAAGAGTAAGTTTTAGAAAAAAATGGGACTTGCGAGTCTTTATGCCAAAATATAGGGTACCTGACAGCAATTTTTTGTTTAATATACAAGATTAATATTATTGTTCGTGTGTCAAAGTTGGAGGCCGGACGCTTGAACGGCTACGTTTGCTCATTCAACGCCTTCCCTCGATTCAACGTTTTTACCGCTTACCGGAGAAGATATAAGTTTCTTTCTCTAGCTATAATTTTAGTACGTATTCTTGAGCTAGTAATCATTATTGAAAGTTTAAATTTTTGTATTTCTGCTGTCCTCCCAATCATGGTTACCTTTCATAATAATGGCCATTGCATAATTTATAATAAAAACAAGGTGGTCATATATTTGCACACATCCAATACTTTAAACTAGTTTTTACATTGTGTTTCACGCAGGCTCGTTTATTTTTTATAAAATATATTTATAAATTTTATTTTTTAAAAATGTGAATATATAAGTGACATATGTACTAAAGTCACCATGCTACATTTTCAATATATGGAACATGTAAATTTCATACACAAGTATACATGTTAGACAATCAGCACCCACTTGGTGCTCCACCATTGGTCACTCCAAATCATCCGCTACTTAGCGCTACATCAAAACTGAAGAACTCACCATCTCACACACTTCACGGCCGTAGCGCCTTCTTTTCACTGCAATGATTACTCTTTTATTTTTTATTTAATAATTACATATTTCTATTCAAAATAAATCATATCTTTTAAAATAAAAAAATTTCAAAATTGATTTTTGATTTCGTTTTTTCTGTATCTTTTAATATAATCATTTTTTATTTATTTAACATTTCTCCGATTTTCTTGTCCTATTTTATTTTTTTTAATTTTTTTTATTTTTTCCGTTGAAATCCTTTTATTGTTTTTGGTATGCTTTTTATCGTTTTCAAACCATTTTTTTGGTTTTAAAATTTTTGCTTAAACTTTTTTATAGCATGAAAAAACCAAAAAAAATCACAAACTAGTTGAATTTAAAAGGGACAAAACAAGATACAATAATTTAAACTTACAATAAGTTTTGTTTAAAAAATCACTTGTATCGATTTAGATTTTTAATTAAAATTATTTTTAATATATTTTATTTTAGAATTGGAGAAAAATTAAAAATAATTAAAATTTACATAATAAAAAAGTACAAGTATGTCAAAAGCTTTGCGAAATAAGATGTGACATAACTACATTTTTCGTTAAACGAGTGACGGAAGTAGAGCAAAACAAGTGAATGAGTTTGACATTGCGAATAGTAAACAATCAATTTAAGTTGAGAGGAATAAAAAATAGAGTATTACTAATTAAAGTTAATAAGAATATTTTATTACATTTACAATATTTCGTGCTACGTATTTAGTGATGCATTAATGTGTATGTATATGAAACATGAATATGTCATTAATTTTTACTCAAAAAGAAGAAAGAAAAGGATAAATTGAGCGAATCGGCCTTTCTGGACAAGAAGCGTGTGATCACCTCTTTACTCATCCATAGATTTTCGTAGCGTCTCTCTCCTGGTTTTGTAATCCCTTCTTGTTAGATTTCATCTTGAAATCAAAGTCCAATTATTATTCCCCGATTTTTTTTAGAACCCTAATCCTTTTACGATCTTCGCAGCTACGAAAATTTCCATCTATCGCCATGGCCAAGAGCTCCTTCAAGTTGGAACACCCCCTCGGTATCTCTTATTCTATCCTCCGGATTTGTGCTAGTCTGGCGTATTAATTTTAATTTTTCCGTTCGATTGGAGATTTGACTTGATTTGCTTTGGATTCGGTATATCTGTTTGTTAAACAAGTTGGAATTTATTTACTCCGTATCTGTTTGCTGGATTTTGTTCCATGATTTTTATTCTCCCGATTTTTAGCGTTTGATGATTGATTGAATTCAAGTTTTCAGTCCCCCCCCCCCTATTATATTCCGGTTGATTAGCTTTTGGTACATGATGATTATCCCATGGGCTATCCTGATTCCTGAAACTTGATCAGTTTCTATGCTAGTTGCTATGCGGAAGCATGATCTCTTAGTATAATTAGTGTTACTTATTGAGTACAGACTACTGATTTTATGCGGAAGCATGACCACTTTCAAATTGTGGATTACCTAAGAGATTGATCTATTTTACGTCATAGTTTATCTTGATTACATAGTTTGGCATGTATTTATGCTTTGCTTTTGATTTCCATTATGCAGAGAGGCGGCAGGCAGAAGCCTCTCGCATCAGAGAGAAGTATCCGGATAGAATTCCCGTAATGAAGTTTCCATTTTCATGTCTTACCGATGCATTTTATTTGTATATTCTTCTGTTTGATTTGTTCTTCACTCCATATCAACAACCTGTTCACTATTTTCTTTACAGGTCATTGTGGAGAAGGCTGAAAGGAGTGACATTCCTGACATTGACAAGAAGAAGTGAGCTCTTATTTTCATAAGGCCTTCCCATGGTTTTGGTTTTCTATAGTTTATCGTGTGTGAGAGTGTGGGCATTATATACGGAGTTATTCTTGACTCTAAGGGTTCGCTTAAACCCCCACTACTTAGTAGGGTTTTTTCCAGTTTGTCCTCGTTCTCTGTGAAAGTGTGAAACAACCCTCTAACATCATCATTAAACGATTATTATTACGTTTTGCAGGTATCTAGTTCCTGCTGATCTTACTGTTGGGCAATTTGTGTATGTTGTCCGAAAGAGGATAAAGCTAAGCGCTGAGAAAGCAATTTTTATCTTTGTGAAGAACATCCTTCCCCCAACTGGTTAGCACAATTTTTCAGCTTACTTTGTGTTTGAGTATTCCTTCCCGGAGTTATAAAAGTCTTGTTTGACTTGCAGCTGCTATGATGTCTGCAATTTATGAGGAAAACAAGGATGAGGATGGCTTTCTCTACATGACTTACAGTGGGGAGAACACCTTTGGCTCCTCCTAAATCTGCTCTGCAGTTCAAGAACTGCAGACTTGTACATTAATCTCAGAAAAATTTGTAAATTCGTAATTTCTTGGGTATCGCGTTCCAATGTTATGAACTTAAGAATTCAAAGGCGACTGCAAAACTAGTACTCCGTATTATCTATCTAGTACTGCATTGAAAAGATTGTGTTTTTCTTCATCCTACTATTCGTGGAGCGGTCTTTAGTGCCTTTAGTTGACCGGTACTTGATGGACCGCCATTGGTGGAGTTACCGCCAATGGAGCCTGGCAGAAATGTACAATTACTGCGGCGTTACCAAATGCCTGTGGTAATGCTTGCCTGGAATTGAGGCAAGGTACACTTTGGAAAATGTTCCAAATTAATTGAATTTTTTTTACATTATAATCGGGGAGGTTTGCCTAGTTGAAGAAGCCTTGCAAGGGAACCACGGTACACTGGGAAGTGGGATGTATTGAATTCCAAAGTAGCTGAAATTATATATTCCCTCGTTTACTAAAGTCCTTCCTATTTACTATTCAAGAGTGTTTTATACGGAGTAACTTTCATTTGTGTGTGTTTTTATTAGTCATTTGATAAAATAAAATATTTTGTCATCACTTATTTTGTAGAATTTTTTATGTATTTTTAAATACAATATGTAAGTTTTTTATTTTTATACCGATTTGTAAATAAAATCTTTTTTAAAAAAAATAAATTTTGCACGAAAAAACAAAATAGAAAGCTCGGGTTATTGTAATTTTTTAACCGATTTGGACACTACTCTCATACACCCCAAATAGTGTCAATGTTGGTAAATGTCAGTGAGATATCAAAATTGGGGTAAAAATGAGTTGCCTCTAACATTTTTTCTAGGAAGATACCTTAACCGGATTCTTATAAAATATTTATACAATGGATATCTCGGAAGGGGGTATCCAGCCTAACAGGAATGGCAGCCCAACATGGCCCAATTCAAACCTGGCCTACTCGGCTAGGCGGAATTGAAAGAAAGCAAACTCTCAGAGGAGCTGCCGCATTGGGACTTACCCACGCTCGGCCTCGGGAGCACGCGCTCAGCCTCTGATCACAGTCGCCCGGCTTCTCGTCGAAAAGTCTCCAGAGACCAGATCGCGTGTGCTCGGCCTCGACTTGAGATGCTGCTAGACCGGGACCGTGGCTCGGTCAAATCAGGGGACCCACGATTGGACCCCTGCCACGCCTCCGTCAGATTGGTTGTAGCCACCCTATATGTAACCTAACTTGTATAGCCACCCTAGGAATAATCATATGGTTGGCGTTGCCGAATGGACGGCCAGATCTTTGTGGGCCCGACCCGTTGGATTTTGGACCAACGATCGAGAAGGCCTGTTTGTAATCTGTATATTAGCCCCTTTTCGAAGAGGGGGTATAGACACATTCTCTTGGACACTAATATTTGCAATCCTAGTTAATTCCTAACTTGAGCATTCCCGACTCTCGTTCGATACTCTTCGCCTAGTCCCCCGGGTTCCATAGCCCAACATTGGTGCTTTCATTGAGATTCAACTACCTGTGGGTCTTGCGCAGTTAGTAAGATAATGGGTGCTAAAAGTAATACTTGAGTTCGATTCCTGATAACTGCGTAAGGAGGTAATTATGTTAAGCATAGAGCCTCTGTAAAGACTTTAAATACCAAGTGCAGGCTTCATCTTTTGCTACCCTCTCAGGCTTTAATCCGTAGGTCTGGTCTCATTGAATTTGATTTGAATTTTTGAAGTTCTAGTCTGATTGAATCTTTATATATAAAATTTGAGAGTTAGGCTTCTAGAATTGTGACATGTGGCGCGCTTATTGGGTAATTTTTTGACATGTCAGTACGTCATGTCATCAAGTTATATTTAAACAATTAGTTAACAAAAAAACTTATTCTACGAAAATTAAATTTCATATTTGTTACACACAAATTTCTTAACAATATCGCATTTAAAAAATTTTCTACCTTAATTCATTGTTGGAAAATATTTAAATTAAATAATATATTTTGAAATTTCAAAAAGAACTCATATTCAAAAACAATAATCAAAACAAATAAATTTATTCTAAGAACGGATATATTGGTATGGCTAAAAGAAATTACATGTGAATATTTATTTTTACTTTGAATTAACGCTGATTGGAGAGATTTTCCAACTTCCAAAAAAGAGAAATAAATATATAAAAGAAAAGGGATTTTTATGGATATGTTTATTTAATAATGTAATAATTTTATTTCGTATATATTAAAAAAATTATGTTAAATAACAAGTATGTTCCATTTTAAAATTAGTATTTTCCATTTTTAAATTATTACTTTTTATTACTAATTTTGCATAGATGTGTGCCACAAAGTTACCATTTTCAATTAATAATTTATAAAATGATGAAGACTTAGTATGTGAGTATTTATGTGTAAGAAATTAATTATTAATTGGTGTTCTTAATCAAATTATTTATGATATATTATTAATTGTTATAAGTGTAATTACTATTAACTAAAATTCTTGAAAATAAAAAACATACATATTTTGACATATATGTCAAAATAATATAAATTAGTTAATATTTTTACTTATTTATTCATCTCGCCGTCAACAACAATGTAACAAATACTAGTGGATAATAGAGCTTTTTTATGTTTAAAGTTTTTAGATAAAAATATTTGCAATATTTATTTTATGATGGTTATTACATATACAGAAGGAGAGGGGTTGTTATCGGCTATAACCTCACATCATCAAACACATTCGAGAAAGAATGTACTCTGTGATGTCACAAACAATATTTTTATTATTCTAAATTAAATATTTCATTTTTCCAGTAATTTTTTTCCAAAAAAATCTATATAGTGGTGCAATCTAGGAATAATTACACAACTCATCGTGCTTTCAAGTGTATAAGAGACATGAGAGAATTGATTTATCTTCTATGACACATGTTTTTAATTTCTATGAAGATGGTAATAAAACAATTATCTTTATGTATTAACTAACTATATATAAGATATTAATGTAAAATACTATGTAAATTAATATGGTGAACACACTCGAGGTTGAATTTCCTTCTCGTAGGCTAAAATTTGTAACCTTTAGAGATCAACAAAAGCTAAAAGATATTATCGAAGAAAATATTGACAAAGCTTCAATGTTTGAAGCTTTGATGATTTCCAATACACAATATAATGTGAGATCAAATGTGATGTATGCGAAGAATTTCAGATCTGTTTGTGTACAACCACAAAGTACGGTAATGGTTCCGATGCAACAAAGACCATCAATAGGCAAACTACAATATGTGATTAAAGAAACTAGAGAGTTATACTACTTGAGAATACTATTAATTGTCTAGCGATGATGTACAAGTTATAAGAGTTTGAGGAGAATTAACAATATTCTACATAACACATTCGGGGAAGCATGTGAAGCATTGTGGTTATTAACCAATGATAAAGAAAATATTGAAGGTATAAAAGAGTTTGCTAAGTTAGGATTTGGGAATCTTCTTGTTCGTCCAGGTACCACCCATAAATTGCTTTGAAAAAATTATAGAAACTCCTGGTGGATGGAATTTTATTTGATCGAATGAGAATATTGTGGAATTAAGGTACTTGAATGTAAAGATAGTTATTTAATGTATTAATCCATGTGAAATACATTTTATGAAAACAAAACTCTTTAAATAAGCACTACATAGAAACAAATATTTGTTTTTGCAAAACTTATAATCTCCCGAAAAGACCTAAAGAATTTAAGTCTAATTGAGATTGAAAATTTTCTTAATTGGAATGGACGATCTTTAAAGGAATTCAATGACATCACATTTGGAGATGACAATATACTTAATAGATATAAAAATAATTTATCGATAGAGAAGTTGAACTATGACAAAGAAAAATTGTCATTTGATCATAAAGGATATTTATCTACGATGAATGAAGATCAGTAGAATATATCTAATGAAATAGCGGAAGTCGTGATAGCTGAAAGAGGAAGTTTTTTTAGAGCATGATTACGGTGGAACTGGAAAAATATTTCTCTATAAATCATTGTCTACTTCTCTGAGGTCAAATGGTAAGGTTGTCTTGAATGTTGCATCCAACTACATTGTAGCATTTCTTTTTCCTACGGGAAGAAGACTCAAGATTTTTAATCCCTTCGGTGCCAATTGAGCGCTCATTATGTGCTATGAAACAAGAGAGCCCGAAAGCAGACCTGACCCAACAAGTAAGTATAACCACACGGGATTTGTCATCTACGATAAATATATTTTCTTATGAGACATTGGATTGCACAATGAGAAATGTAATAAGGTTCTCTAATAATAACTTCACAAATGAACCATTCAGATGGAAAATAGTTGTACTCAAAGGTGATTTATTCCAAATTCTTCCAGTTTTACTCATTGCTTTGAGAGAGGAAATTGTAGGTGCTACCACCAATTCCTCACAAATGTGGTTGTATTGTAAAATTTATACGTTGACCAATGATATGAGATTGCATTAATCTACACTCTCTTGCACAGATAGGGACACACGAGCTTTTTTGATTGGATAATCAAAGTCGAAGATGGAAAAGTTAGACAAGTGATTGATGGAACTGCTGACATTGAAATCCTGCCTGAATTCTTGATTCTTGACACAAGTTATCCCCTCAAGAGTATAGTGGAATTCACTTATCCGAACATATTAGAAAGATGAGGAATTATTCTTTTTTAAGGATAATGCACTATTAGCATCCACGCTCGAGTTTGTTGAATGGTAAATGAATTTGTCTTATCCCTTATTTTAGGAGTTGAAAAGGAATACTTAAGCTTTGATTCTTCATGCAAAGCCGATTTAAATGTAGATGTTGAAGACGATTGGATAACACTTCAGTTTTTTAATAAAATCAAATGTTCAAGGATCATAAACCGCAAAATAGTTTTTAAAAAATGGGATACCGATTATGGCATTGAAGAACATTGACTAAAAATTTGTATTGTATAATGGTAGAAGATTAATCATTAAGAAGCTGAAAAAGAACATTATCACTGCAATTTAGGTTTCGGGAAATCAGTTGGAAAAAAGATTTACATACCCCGAGTGAATTTGATACCATCTGTTTGAGGATTACTACTGAAATTCCAGAGAAGACAATTCTCAATAGTCTTATATTTTGTTATGACTATTAACAAAAGTCAAGGTCAAACATTGTCTTTTGCTGTATTATTTTTTCCCAATTCAGTATTT